TTTTTTATTTTTAAACTATATAATTGATTTTTTTTATATATACATGTATATGTAAATTTGTATTGTTGACATGTCCTTGCTCAATGTAATGATGTAACTAAAATATTGACATTTTTAATCATTTATGTAACCTTTGTGCATTGAAATGATAAAATAAAGGAATATTATTATTATTATTATTATACCTAAGGTTGCTAAAAATAAATTTTCTCAGATAATGGAGCAGAATATAAACTGTTATTTACTTACTTTCTATACGGCCATACAGCTCTATGAAAAGGTGGCATCAACTGCTCCCTAGACTGCATGTCCAAAACAAGAATAATGGTGCGACATCCAGGCTTCAGTAATCGCACTAAGGCATTGTAGGTCTCAGATCGCAACTCATGCAAACGCAACTCAGGCTGGTAGTTCGAGTTCGTGCTTTCGTTATTGTTGTTGCCCGTTTTGGCTTTCTGTCTTTGAATATTTTCTTCCTCTATACGACTGAAAAGGAAACGGACATCGGTTCAAAGAAACATCGAAGATAATAACACTTACACTAAGTACGCCATGAAATATCCTATTGCTAGTATGAAAAGTATTGTTCCCAAAATGGAGACGACAGCAAGGATCTGCTCCTTACCCAGGCCCTCGTAGGTTGTCTCCATGAATTGCACAAAACGTACAAACAATTTCTCAATCATGCCCTTCGCATGTTCATCAAATAAATCCTAAAATATATAATTGATATGACTGAATTGAAAGATTAACTTCAACATCGTGCAACAAATTTACCTTAACAAATGCTTCATTTGTAAGCACCTCGTTAGATCTCAACAAACGAATTAATGTTTTCTCCAAAGATAAAGTAGTGTCGCTTAAATTTGTTTCCATCTCCCACCTTCCAGGGATCCACTCATATTTCACATGAGAGGTGTCTTTCCTCCATAGAATAACAATTCTCAATAAAGGTTGTATTATTTCTCCTTCTGGAAATCAGTGAAACATATATATTCCAAATGCTATTACAAAAACTGAAATATGTTTTTTGAATATTTCAGACCTTACCTGGAACTAGTGAATTTACAAACTCCGACTGTGCGTCTTGATATATATAAGAGAACCGAACTTTTTCAGAATTGAATGGCGCTTGCTTTGCATAAGATCTAAAAGATTGTCTGTAGACATCATGACTTCGAGACGAAGAGGTCACTAAGACCACGCAAAGCTTCTTTCTAGGTCTATTCCATTCACTGGGACATAAGGCTTCTAAAACGGCCTGAAATAAAATATTCAAGTTTTAATTATTTTATTTGTCTAAGGACAAAGCCAAATATGGAACTTTCCCTAATGAGGTTAATGAAAGATAATATTGAATTTTCTAACAATTCTGTGATAGTTTTCCATCATTCACAGACATTCATATTTTCCTTTAAATGAATTATAGCTTCTTAAACTTTAAAAGACTTGAGGAGTCTATGCGACATAAGAGTTCATTTTCTATAAGTGAAACTAAAAACAAAACACAGTCTGTGGGATTCTCAACATCGGTGGGATTTTAAACATCCACCAGATGCGATAAAAGAAATAATAATTTAAATTTTATGGAGTATTTTTGCGGAGGAACCATTATAAAAAATGGGTCAACATCTAAGGGATTCAAATGATGATCAAAATTACAATCAAAATAATGCAGGGGAGAAATAATACACACAAGTATGAAGCAATTTCAATTGATCTTACCTGAGATGAAAGTCTTGGAAGTGCCAAATATTGATTGGATGAGATGATATGGTTCAATGTTGATGTTGGGATTTCTTTCATCGAAACACTAGCCATTGGGTAGGATGTATTTTCGTTAAACAGCAGAACTGTGTCCATGTCTTGTGGTACTTGAAACCTATCTCGAATTTCTTGAGAGTCTACAAAACTAGAGGAAAACGTTTTCAATATTGTTGTCCGAACATTAAAAAAGTTCAATTTACCCAAAAGCTAGTCTTTGCCGAAAATGGTAGGCAGTGACCAAATATCTCAATCTCATGGTACTCCTCGGTTCAAATATCAACCCTCTCACTCTGTTATCCCCCCAGCCATTAAGAAAACTGTCAACATCATCTTTGTTGACTTTTGGAAGCATTTTATACGGCATTTTATTCCTTATGAACTCTAGAATAGTAGTAGAACCAATTACAAAATGAGAGAAGCTACCTTAGAAAAACTCACCAATTATTTTTTGAATACTAGTTATAGTCTCCTTATAAACGAATACATCACCGTCTAATAGAAGGACCAAACAAGGTAATGTATGAATGCTAAGTCTTCTACCTAATTTTGGTTCTCTGCCTGAATGAACCGTCACAAAGTTTATTCCTAAAGGTTCCAGATTATCAACTAATTTACGGCAGTACGGAGCAGTCTGTACGCACTGAAAACACCAATCGGTGTAAAAAAACACGAGATGCGGAATTTTCTGACTCTTTGGAACAACAATTTTGTCATATTGTCTGAAAAAGGATATGAAACTTAATTTGTAGTTAAGTATAGGTGATTGCCAAAGTAGTTGGATTTCACGTGTCCAAGACACAGTATGATTCTATATAGGTATATGCATTTAAAACTTTCAGAAGTAAGCATTCATTCCATAAAAATAACATTTTGAATAGTTGATAGAATAGTGAATAGTTGTTTACTGTTCTATAATATAAAACATACAAAATAATATATTTTTTGAGACAATTTCTCAATGTTTGTCATTTTTCATTTCCCATTACTAACAACTATTTTAACAATCACCTATAGGTATTTTATTATTTACCTTGTTGTTATGGATAACTTATGGAAAAATGTAATGTCATTTTCTTGAAAATTGAAATAGGCTCCGTGCTGTGAAAAAAGATCTTCAAAGGGATGGCTTGTTTGGAAAGAAGGGTGATCCGGCCTTCTATAAAAATCATCTTCAGTAATGCCCTTATCATCATACCGCTTTCTTCGGTCAGGATCCGAAAGTAGTTCGTATGCTAATTTGATTTCTACAAACCGCTCTTCAGCAGCAGGGTCATTAGATTTATCGGGATGCCTGAAATATTTGAAGTTATTGCCAGCATTACAAATAAAAAGAATGTAGCTAACCATTCTTTGACCAATTGTTTGTATGCCTTTCTGATTTCTTTTTGAGAAGCCCTTCTATGAACCCCAAGTATTTGGTAGGGGTTACCTAATTCTGCCAAAACACCCCACAACAAATAGAATATAAGGCAACCTTGACAAAACCAAAGTTGGGACTCCCATCTCATTTTTCACCCTACACACATACACAATTATTTATTTCTACCTAAATGTACCTAATTAACAATTTAAGAAATATAACAAAATTCCAAGAACTATTGATTAATAGATAAAAATGTGTCAGTTCGATCACTTGTCACTTGTCACTTGTCGAATCTAGGTCACAGAACACCATAACTCCCAGGTTTTATTGTTTTATGTTTTTTGTTAATGACAGACAGCCACAGGACATAAAAATCCAGTGACATGATGCATGTTTCTTTTTTTCACCGATATGAATTCAAATTAGGAAAACATTGACTTGACCTATTCACAGTACATAGTGAATATTTATAATAGGATCAAGTTTTGGATATTTTGGCAAATTTACTAATTCCTTCTCCATATTCAATCAATTTCAAAAAAGATTCTTGATATCAGGATAGTGAAAACTACGAGATATACAGTACATTGTTTTCAAGCCTTTATCACTCGATTCGATAGTGCATCATTACAAACAAATATATTTAATATATACTGCAAGTTTCAATCAAGAATTCAATAATCAAATAATAAAAGTCCAAGTATGAACTCGCCTGAGGGAGCTATTGTATAGTGAAACACGTGTTGCAGTTTTGTGAACTGTACAGTGAAAAATCCCGTCATGAAGTGTTACTCGAATACGTTAAGGATTTCCATCAAGTATCGGTCAATTCTATCACATATTCACCAAAAATCATTATATATGTTTTGTATTTGATAAAATAAGTATGAAATTGTTGTAAAAATACCTGAGAAATACATCATATATTATATTTCTGGTGAAATCATCAATACGATTCTTAAAAGAAGATATATAATGTACGTAACAAAAGTGTTCATGAATAAAAGAAACATCGATAACGAATTTTGTTTGAACATGCATAGTATGCCAGTTCATGACAAAAGATTGTTTCTAGACATTTTTTAATTTGATTGTTCTGCCATGCAACGTTTTGTGTCCTGTGTCAAATTTTCAAAATATGCTTATTTATTGATTTTTACTAGAACCAAGAGTGAACATAGGTATATTAAGTTTTGTCAACAATTTCAACAAAATGAACGCTGCAATCAACATTGGTGTTGAAGACATGACAGCAACGATTGTTCGCTATGGATTATATTTGGGAGCTATCTTCCAGATCGTCTGTCTAGCAGCTTGTATATTCATGCCTGATTCTCCAGAAGACAACAGTTCTTGGGGATCCAGAGTGGGTTGTTGATTATTTTCATAAATTATAATAAAACCAATTTTCTTTTCAGGTTGATAGTGATGATGAAAGCTCTGAGCAGAGTACTCCGCAAAATACTCCCAGAAGACCATATCATAGGACCAGGAAGCAAGAAAAGAAAAAAAGACGTTGAAAGAATTCGAAATATTTTTCAAAAAATGTTATCAGTATCTATGTTTGATCTCCCCAAAAAGTCGATTCAGTCCCACTTTTTGATTGGATCAAAAATGTGGATGCAAATGTAATCAGTGCTAGTGAGATTAGTGAACAGTATTTATTTTCTCTGTGATGAGCAAAATATTACAAAAAATGGTATTGCCATGTGTTTTTTGACCTTGCTGTTTTCAAAATGTTTATAACTTTCTTACATTTTAAGTAATCAGGATGGGACGAAGGTCACAAAAACAAGATTAGATAACATACCTGGAAGCAAATGCAATAGATTAAATATGGTTTATGTTATGTTATTTCATTAACTTCCCTGCATAATATTTTCTATGTTGTGCTGTAGTAGTCAGTAAAACTTACCCAAATGTTATACAGTAACACTTATTCTTTAATGTATGCTTTTCCAAATTTCTGTGTATGTCCTAGAAAGCAGTTTGCCAGTATATTCTTGTCTCCTTTTCTTTACTGATTTTATGTATGGTTCTAATATCCATTCTTATGGAAGTATGGATATGGAGCGTTTTGGCTTTCTGATTCTAAAATAAGGAAGAATGAAAATAATAACATTGAAAACTCTTTATAAAAATATGCAGGTCATACACACAATTTTTCTCATTTGAGGGAAACATTAACTCAATGTTCAAATGAGAGTATTTGTACGAAAGGACTTTTTCCTTAAGTGCAATTCAGTGTTCATGTGAAAGTATGTTTGGACATAGTTTTTTCTTTCAGTTTGAATCTGAAAGAAATTTCCGAGTATGATTTTCATAAAGAGTATTTATTGTAGCCATTTTTTTTTCTGCCTGTCTTTGAGAGTTTCACACATTTTTTGTTGAAAGATGGGGAAATAGAAAACCAAAAGGCTCTTTTCCCATATTCATGTATATTTTTTTATTTCAGGCCTGAAAAATCATTTATATAAATCTTCTAAGTAAACGTCCTATTCTCTCTGCGACCCTTGTCAATAATGGCAGAAAGGAGATAATTTCATCATTTATAAATTGAGTATAATTAAAGAAAACAGTATTTCGAAGGCTGGAAAATGTATCTACCTTAGGTATATATTCAGCGATATTATAGAACTATGAAATTATCTCCTGGTATTAACTTTCAACACTAACTAGAGTGTGAACGACTGGTTCTATTACTTCAATGGTCTTATTTAAGTAAAATGGTTTCATAGGTAGTTATGCCCGTAATGATTTTTCAACTCTTAAGAATTACATTTCTTCAGTCTCTAATTCAATTACGCCCCAATTAATCTCAAATTGAATAATTAGTTTAAATCAAATATTTAAGCAACATTGTAGATACTCATTCAAGAATAAAGAATATCCAATTCAGAATATCCACAATTCATTTTCCTTTCAGCGAAACTTATTTGAAACGTAAAAAAATGGTTTCAAAATATTTGTTAATATATTCCTAAATCTATTCAAATTGCAGAATATGAAATTTTCCATATTAGAATGGAAATAGGTTTTTTGAAACTCGGACTATTTTTCAAGAAACTTTAATAAAAATCTACCATAAGTGTTAATGTGTACATATCTGTATTTGTTTTTTCATATTTTGTTACGTTGAGTGCAAAAAAAAATTGAACTTCTTGAATAAAAATTAATTCTCATTACTGCTATTGTTAAGTAGACAAGCAGACACGAAACAAACGTTTTGTGTTGTCTCGAAAATTTGGTTGTTGCAATGTTTTTTATTTACTTTTTCAAATGTATCTAATAATATGTCTAATGGTTTTTAAAATAGTAATATTAACACGAAAAAACTACTTTTCGAGCCCTGAAGAAGAATTTAATTAAATTCGAAACGTCGGTAAGAAAGCATCGATTCTGTTACCGAACCACCCTTTCTTCAGATGTGGTAAATATACTCATTTATTATTATTAATATATTATATGAGTCACTCAACGAGACTCCTTAGAGTCTCAATTTGACTATGTAATATTATTATTTGACTAATTGGTTTATTATATTCAAAAATCATACTCATTTATCTAATGAAATTAAATTACCTAAATTACTCAAGTGCGAATATTGTACTTTTTCTCTCTCTTATAACTAGTCTTAGGTTGAGTGAAAACAGAAATACATTTAGGATTTCTTTGAATAATTTTTATTGAAAGCTTGAAATACAATACCTTTTGTAAGTAAATATATTAAAGCATTAAAACAGCCATGTTTTATACAATTCTATGAAACTAAGTACAACTTCACATTTTACACGATTTTTACAAAAATAGTGATTTGCACACTACCAAAAGAAAAATAATATGCAAAAAACAGCTTAGGTGGATGAATAACAAAATTAGATTAGTGAAAAAAAATATATGGTACATCTGATATAACACCCCTGACTCGACTTAGCTGCTTTATAATTTTTTGTATGAACAGGATAATGAAAATTTCTTCTTTTATCATGTTTGTGATTTTTATTCAATTAAAAATCATCTCGAGATTGTCACAAATATTTCATTTGTGAGTTGAAGTTTATTATTTGTGATTGTAACCAGTCATATATATGTATATATTTGTAATTCATTTTTTGAATATTTTGACATCAGCCTGATGATAGTTAGGATCAAACATATTGTATATTAGCTTATGCTGAATAAAGGAATTTGAATAATAAATAGGTATATAAAATTTTCATTGTAAAAAGTGATTTTTTTTTCACACAGGTTACTGATCACTATAGAAAGTCATTAAAATTATGTGTCATTAAAATTCTATGCTATATAGCGATTTTATGAAATGCATGCTATGCTGGACATTGCTGTTCTTTGCTCTACTTTTTTATATAAACTAACAACAAATGAAACTTCATTTTGAATATTTTATTAATAAATACAATCGAAAATAAATATAACATTCTTATTAAAAATATATTACCTAACGTTTCTTCAAAATTTGAAACAGCTGTCTCACAATATATATCTGAATAAAAAATTGCTCTCCAAATTAATGTTTAAAATGATGAAATGAAGCCGCTATATAATTGAACGTTTCTTGTCATAGTATCAGTTATATCTGCCTGCAGTTACGATATTTGCAATTGTTCAGTAAGGTGATATTTTGTATTATAAATTAGTAACAAACTACTCAACAAAAATAATTTGAGTAAAAATATATTCCAAAAAACGTGTTCCAAAGTTACTTTTACTTCACAGCAAAAATGGGAATACTCATTATGGTTCAAGGCAGAGCTAGCAGTGAAAAAAAATCAAGCTTTCTCTACGACTTGAGGGCGGCCAACCTACTCTGCATCTCCTCTAATTCATTTTCATCCTCTCCCTCTGCTTCTCCCACAGCAGGTTTGGACTTTTCTCTGTCTGCAGGTTCTGTAGGAGGTAAGGGCGCTTCTCCAATCTTTCCTTCAGTTATTTCAAATAGCACCTTGTCAATTTCGGACTGTGCAGCTTCTTCCATTTCCTCGCTATCTTCCATCTCATCCATAGTTTCGTCCAGCATTTCTTCAATAATACCTGCTTTCATCATTTCTTTTGACATCTCCTGCATTGTTTGGGCCACCTCAGGAACTCTGATGAGTCTTTGCATCGCCGTCATGACTTCAGTTGACTTTTGTAGAGATCCGGCAACTCTCAATGTTGCTAAAAAATGATGAGTATATTTCATCAATTGGACTGGCATTTAATATTATTATTATTTTGCTACAATCTTCAATAATATTTTGTGATCATCAGAGCATATGTTTATATTCTTTTTGTTAGACGAGATGGACTCCTAATTTGTCCATAAAAAAATATCCTAAATAATCAATTATATCAGAAAATGGATCATATATAATTTTTCTATCTTAGTTTATGTTGTTGACGTTTATACTGTCTATTTTTGAGTTTTACTTACTGTCTGAAAGCAACAGGTGACATACCCTGTTTTCCTGATAGTCATATAAATTTGACAATACTCCATTCATTTCTGTTTTGTTATTGCAATACTGTAAAAAAACCAAAGAAAAAGTACCTAGCAAAAGTCATTTTTTTCAAAAATTAATATGATGTAGTTTGTTTGGAAAAAATTGAATATTTTGTATGGAAAAATAGGAGTAGCAAGTGAATAGAGGCCCACAGTATGTGGTCATGAAAAGGAAGTATAATTTTGCAAGTTTTTATTACTAAAAGCCAGTTCTAGAAATAGTTGATTTTTGACGTTTGTGTGGCCATATCTCCAAAAGTAGACCACAGCGCCAAATTTTGATTTTAGATTCATGATCAACTGACAAATATATGTATGTCTGATTAAACATTTCTATAGTGTGAACTGTTGAAAAGGAAGGATATTTACCAAAATCAACAATTTTGAAGTTTTGGCAGCTCCTTAGCTTCTACTCAAATCAAATCATTTGAAGAGACTTGTAGTTGATAGCCTCCTCAGAAGGAGATTATCATTCTGTAACTACCGCTAGAAATATCAGAGTAATTTTTGATTTGGTTGAATCAACTAACCTAACTGGTTTTTCATCTGTAGCATAACCGAGTTCATATGCGCCTTAGAAGTATAAATTTTATTGATAGCTTTGCGGGCTCGCAGGATTTCTTTTGCCAAGATGAGGCAGGTATCTCGATCATTTTTCTGTGCAGCTTCTTTGAGTGAACGCTTGACTTTTTCCTCCTCTCTCTGGATCGCTATAACGATAATTAAATTCGAAATGATTATGATCTCAATAATGAATACACCTACATCTAATTTGTCTTTCTAACTGGTATCCCTCTTTTCTGAGTTTGTGGTTCCATTCTGTCACCTGAAAATTTCAATATGTTCAAAATGTTGATTCTAGGAGAAAATTTACAATAAATGTTACCATATCTTTTGGATTCCTCTCCGGTGTTTTTCCAAAAAGACCCATATTTAAAAGATGATTATTTTCTGAAGTAAAACTTTATTTTTATTTGACAACTGGATTAGAATTTGACGTAATAATAAAAATAGTTACGCCTTCATCTTCTTGACGTATGTCACTTAGTAGTTCGAATACCATAGAATTCAATCATCTGACACAGAACACCAATACCGTTGTGGTGCAAAACATAAACAATTCTTTCCCAATAAACAATTCGAATTGAAGGGGTTTTATTTTTAGGAGTGATTAATTTTTGGGAAAGAAAGTTTTTGGCTTTCTACTACTCCATCTTGATACAAAAAAAGGATGAGGGAATCTTCCAAAGGAAGGAAGGAAAGAATCAATTTGAAAATAAGTAACTCTATACATGGATGTGTAGATCATGTAAAGAAGTTTTTTCATTCCACAACGAATGTTTGAAATACGAACTGAGTAGAGAAAAGTATCTTCTGCATAATTCAGTGTTCATATAGAAGTATTTGTTTCGAAAGAATTTTTTTCTCTCGTGTAATTCAATGTTTATATGAAAGGAGCTGTTTTAGGAGGACTTTCTTTCAGTTTGTGTCTGAAAGTTACTTCTTTGCATGATCTACACATCAATGTATAGAGTTACTTATTTTCAAGTTGATTACTTCCTTTCTTTCTTTGGAAGATTCCCTCATCCTTTTTTTGTATTAAGATGGAGTAGTAGAAAGCCAAAAACTTTTTTTCCCATAAACAATTCATAATCACACAATCACAACTGAATCTCAATTTTTTCAGGAAAGAGATAATTTTGTGATTTATTGCTTGCCTATCAAACATTATGATTCTAATCGTTCCACGACTGGTTCCGCTCGTTCCGTCATTTAAGTAAACTTTCTAACATGTAAACATTCAGAGACACCTTTAAAAAGAATGAATATTTATGCAACTCACAATACACTCATTTGCACGTTTAGTTGACGAATTCAGTACACCCCAACGAACAAATTGCGTAATTGTGGGTAAATCGTTTGGGAGCCATATGATGGGAAGTGAAAATATCAACAAAACCATCATAAGTTATAAAGCTGTATCTCATGTGCGATATAGTAGTACAGTGACTGTGCTCGAAAAAAATGCCAAAAAATTAATTTGTGACTCTAAACTGCGTTACAAGTGTAGTGAAATTTAGAAAAACGTTAATAACGGGTGAGTTCCAAAAAATTTTGTGGTTATCTGTTGAAGTCAATCAACAATTTGCATGTCTTTCATTTCCCGCTGATATATACGACCTACTTTTCAAAGGTTTTGATACAACATGGTGAATGTTCTTACATTCACATTAAAAGCAAAAAATGTGCAATCAATTTGTTCAGGTAGGGTATGGATGAATTGCTATATTGCTATGTAATGCACCATCATCACAGATAAAATGCTTACTCATAAATTACATTATCAAATTGCACTGCGATCACTAATGTTGAAATTGAAATGCATGTTAAGATACATGCATAAAAAAGAAAAAACTTGCTCTCAATCCAACACATCTATTCATGCCTAATTATTTAAATACAATAATAGTATTCCATCTCTTTCACACCCTCTACCTTATGTTCAAAAAAAATGTGGATAGACTCCCGGTGCCCGTGACTTATTTCAGGGCCTAGTCCCGCTTTCACATTGCTCGTCTTAAATATACAGGGTGTATCATAATACAAGAATTTAATTTTAGTTGGTGATTATTTGTCATTTTTTGAAAAACAGTTTCATCTAGGAAGTTGATTTCAGCTTTTCCTTTCAATGTTAATTTTATTACCATTTGGTCAATTTGAGAGTATTTATTACATTTTTAGAGTTCTGTTTTATGGCTTGGGAACAAAGAATTACTTTTTTTTCTGTAAAATTATTATTATATCATTTGAAAATGTCACAATTGCAAAAACCATTTTATAAAGTGTTTTTCATCATAAATATCAACGAACAACGTTACTTCTAAACAATCCACTTGCGACTGCAATCAACAAAAATTAGTTACATAATCGACGTGACGATTTTTAAGGATTTACAAAAACGATTTTTCAACAAAACTTTGACACTCTGTTTCTTACGAAACAAGCAATTCTTTCCTACATAAAATATGTTACTGTGAAGATTTATTTTTGTTTACAATTCAAAAATAGATAATAGGTAAAAACTAAAAATAATAAAAAGGCTTTGTTTCCTCAAATATGTGATTTCGGATATTGAAGGGTATTTTTTCCGTCACTCATCACATTCTTCAGTTTGTTTCAAATTTGTTCTCACATTATTGCATTACGGTTTAGGACAAATATAAGCGAAGTTGTTGAGAAGGAATCCTCGAAGGAATCGCAATTGTTTATTTGCTAAGTAACTGTTGTATCATCAACAAACAGTATGGTAGTTTACAAGTTTAGGTTAAATTAGGTAAGGTTGTAATATACAGTGCGAACGTAAAAATGCCCTCTCCCCCCCTTTTCTTTTATGACAAAACACTACAGGAAAATTCTTAAGGTGCTCTGTGTGAAAGTAGCGATTCATATTGGATTCGAATCGCCCTTTAAAAAATAGTATCAAAAATCACTAACTTTGGTGATTTTTACGTAAATTTTATATTTTTTCATCCGCACTGTATGAATACACCGGTCGTGAAAAAAACTATCGGTCCTTGTTCAGTATTTCAAATTGAACATCGTATCAATCCTCAATGCATTCAAAACAATACACCGGTTTATTTACCTTTTGCATGATAAGGCAAATATTTGATATTTTCCATACCACTGTATGAATCTGTAAACATCTTGGAAGAGATTTTGCCTACTCATTCTCGGTTAATAATGAATATATTTTAAATCAATATATTGTTTGTTATATTTCCGTAGTTGTCGTTAAAAGTGATTACTTAGTTATTTATTGAGAACTGAGGAATAGTAAAGATATTTATTCATAATGCATTTTTCTCATAATGTAATAATTCCTCATATAATTGATGCTTATAAAATCGTTGGAACACATTCTTATGTTTATTAGAATAGTTAGAATTCTCGAATCATGTCACGGAAGTTCCATTAATAGATACATGATAGTCCAGTCAAAATGCTCATACATGATGCTTCAGCCAAAATCTCGATGAAAGTAAAAGTTCGACTGATTTATTTTTAATAAAATAGCAAAAAATTTCAGTAATATATCGAGAGAGAAAGAGAGAGAGAGCAGAAATCAATATTCATAGAAAAAAAATACAAAATCTTTAATAATTCCTATGAAATATTGAAATATTTTTTGCTGCAGAAAAAATCACAGAAATTTTTACTTCCAAATGAAGAAGTATGCACAAGTTAAAGTATTTTTGTAAGGTAAGTACTTGTGATGAGTATATTTGGAGAAATTACTGGTAATTTTTTTTTGACTTTCTACATCTTCATCATTAAATAAAAAGTGTTATCGACTACGAAGCTAATGAGGTGATAAGACAAGGTGTTTTGTAACAAAACTACAAAGTGCTTCATTTGGGATCATTGTTTTACTGTTAACTAATGCAATAATTTTGAAAAATTTGACATTACTAAAATTATTAATGAACATGATTTTGCGGTTGAGTTGGGTAACATGATCAATTTTTTCTTTAAAAAAACCAATTGTTAGTTTGCCGACGTTTCGAATTAAATCAAATTCTTCTTCAGGGCTCTGTAACGATGAATTTTCCTAAACATACCTTCCACAAAACTCATACGTTTATTATCGTTTCAATTTCACAAGGAATAATGAGTTCTTAATTAAATTACTCACCAAAAAGTAGTGTCTTCGTGTTGACAATATTACTATTTCAAAAACCATCAGACATTAGATACATATAAAAGATAAATAAATAAAAAACATTGCAACAACTAAATTTCCGAAACAACACCAAAACGAAACGACATGAAACAAACGAATGGCTTCATCAGTATCACAGATACTGATGAGGTGGTGTCTGTTTTTTAATAACTGACAGAAAGAAAAAGAATGAAGAAGGGTAAATTATTCAGGTATTTTACGTATAAAATTTAAATATTCAGTATTAAGGCCATCGACATCGACAAATATGGTTGAACAACTAGAATAGTTGGATGATCAAAATCAAAAATGTGTCCATATTCTTTTATGTTCAACGAGGGCTGTGAGGTTTATATTTAGTTTCTCAGAGTCTCTCATGTGTTCTGACACTCGTGTTTGAAGATACCGTCTTGTTTGACCAACATATCATTTGTGACAGCTTCCACAGTTCAATTTGTATACTATATTGGATTGTATTTCCTGTGGTGTTTTGTTTTAGGAAAAAATGCTTTCCAACTGTATTCTCATTTGAAAAGGCCACTTTAATGTGTTCGGTACTGAATAGCATTCCAAGTTTATCAGATAAATGTTCTACAATTGGAAATTTGTGATTATTTGGTTTCACCCCTGTATTTTGGGAAGAGAAACTTCTTTCTTTAATTATTTTTCTAATAAGGGCTCTAGGAAAATCATTCTTCACTAGGTAATTCTCAATTAATTGGAGATTTTTGTTATGGAATTCAGAATTGGAAATGGCAGTTGACAATGATCGGCTGCACTGTTCAAAAGCCACACTACATCCCCCTCCTTGAAACTCACCAGCATCGACTTTTTGTCGAATCTTATCTTCATCCTGCCCCTGAAAAGCTCTAATTTGGTTCTGGCAAATCTGTGGACAATTTCCAGTCCCTCCCTCAGCTCATTCATATACTCTTGAGATTCATCGGATGGGCTGTGCAACCTGTTGCGTCATGTTGGGAGCTCCGCTATGCCAATAGAAAGAGGGGAACCAACTTATCCCACTTCTGACACCAAATGTTACGTTTGTACAATTAAACTCAACTTGATTCCACTACTACACTGCCAATGCAGTACACAAAATTTAACTGAATTCAGACTAATACTCACATAGATGATATTTTTTCAATTAATTTATTTATTTTTAGGCTGATCATTTATTAATGTATTATTTATAAAAAAAATCATGGCGTGTTCTTTTGGATTTTCCATACTGTTTTAAATGTCTTTTCGGCTTTGAGGCGCGGGACCCTTTGCACCGCGAGACCGTGGGCGGTGGGCCACATCGCCCACGCCTTAGGCCGCCTCTGCACTGCGATACAAAATTTGCTACATAATGATGACTTGCACTTTCGGTTCGCTCTTATTAATTTTAAATGACTCGACAGATAATAATATATTTTTATGAAGGGGAATGTACCTTCAGGGGAAAAACGTGTTAATGAACTAAAGCGTCTCTGAAAGAAAAACACCGTTCAGTATAATTCAGTAAATTTGGCCAATATTGTGATTCTCAGGAGTTTCTTCCAGTTGACATGCGAAACCTTTCATTGTTCATATAACGTAATTTACAATTTTTATCCGGAATTACTTTGAACAAACTCAAATAATATAATAATATATGGTATTTATTCAAGATCCAAATACAAATACAAATGAGAAGTGCAAATTGAAAGTTCAAATAAATAACGAGATGCTCGATAAGTAAGTGAATACTTGTTTCGAGATACAAATTTGGTGTGAATGGGCGTATACATACATACATTGAAGTAGTTAAACAAAAACATAGAATGAATAACATATAAAGGTATTCGACTATGAACATATTCAATCGTAAATGTAATTAAACATGTAGAGTTATTATAATTTGTCATAATAAAATAAAATAAAAAAACAAACACTATCATACAAACAATCCAAGATTATTTAGCTTTCAACCAGTTCTGTTTAATATATCAATCGTTTGTATTCCTGCTTGATAAGAGTGAGACATAGGTATTTGAAATGGTGTTCAATTTTCATTTTCTTTAAAATAAAAATATGAAAACAAATAGTATAATACAGTAACACAATTTTCAACTTAGCGAATATCAAACTTTTAAACAGTTCAGTTCAATATACAGGGTGTAACTGAATAAGTGTAAAAAATTCAAGGAGGTGATTCCTCATCGAAAAAAAGATAGGATCTTTTATATAAACAAATTTCATTGGAGCATCCCTTGTTGAGATACAGCCCCTTAAAGGGGGTACATAAAATTTGTATAACAATTTTTTTCACAAGCACTGAAAAAGTTACAATATTGAAATTAACCTGACGTTTTGTACTACCAAAAAGACACTAAGCCAGAAATTCATTT